ATTTCAACTGAATTCGCGAGAATTTGTCAAAAATGTTTATATAAAAACGAATTCCTTTCTACTTTTAAAACTTCTTTGCATTCTCGTTCCAAAATTATCTCTTAAGATTTACATGCCTCAAAGCTCTATACTTTTAAGTTGAAAGTGGGAGACAAAGGTTGCATATAACTATGTGTTTCGTAATTACAAATCCAAGTAGTACAGTTTTTGTACCTGGACTCACATCCGCGTAATGAAGGCATCACGAGTCAGAGAGGATATAAAAAAAAATAAAAATAAAAATTGTGAAATTCACGCTTCGACAACAGGGAAGGGAAGCGACATTTTCAAGACTCTGTGACAAGCAAGAGACAGACATCATGCCAAGTTTCTGGATCTAATAAAAAAAGAAAGAAAGAACCAACGACAGAAAGAAATGCATTTCGACGTGTGAAAAGACACACACCCACATAGAAAATGAAGTCGTAGAGACAGAAAAACCTTCCTCACAGAAACTAACATTGGATAAAATAGAATATCCACACACATATATACATATAAAGGCTCCTGGATGTCAACAAAGGCGTGTCTCTGCACATAGAAGAGTTATACATACGGGCATTTCAGCAGAAACAAAAGAGCATTTGCAAAAAGGCACGTGTACAGGAAGTGAAGGCTCGCCACCCCCCACGACAAACAAACGTGCACACATGCATGCACACAAGACTTACAAACCATTCAATCCTCACACATACACATACAGAAATATGAGACTACATATGCGTACACAAAAGAAATGCGCCAGCAACGCTACAGACGCACAAAGGAACACACAGAATTTTACAAGGCTACACCTCCATAGACACTTTCCCATCCACACAAAAAATGCACCTCACTGCACAAACGTAGAAATGCACCATGCTACACATGCATACAGAGAAATTTGCCACGGTACACATACATACAGAAATACGCCACGCTACACACATACACACACATTGAAATACGCCACGCTACACACACACACACACACATTGAAATATGCCACGCTACACACACACACACACACACATTGAAATATGCCACGCTACACGCACACACACATTGAAATATGCCACGCTACACGCACACACACATTGAAATATGCCACGCTACACGCACACACACATTGAAATATGCCACGCTACACACACACATTGAAATATGCCAAGCTACATACACATACATATTGGAATATGACACGATACACACACACATACACATTGAAATATGACACGCTACACACACACATACACACACACATTGAAATATGACACGCTACACACACGCACGCATACATATTGAAATATGACACGCTACACACACGCACATACATACTGAAATATGACACGCTACACACACGCACATACATATTGAAATATGACACGCTACACACACGCACATACATATTGAAATATGACACGCTACACACACGCACATACATATTGAAATATGACACGCTACACACACGCACATACATATTGAAATATGACACGCCACACACACGCACATACATATTGAAATATGACACGCTACACACACGCACATACATATTGAAATATGACACGCTACACACACACACATACATATTGAAATATGACACGCTACACACACGCACATACATATTGAAATATGCCACGCTACACACACGCACATACATATTGAAATATGCCACGCTACACACACGCACATACATATTGAAATATGCCACGCTACACACACGCACATACATATTGAAATATGCCACGCTACACACACGCACATACATAGTGAAATATGCCACGCCACACACACGCACATACATATTGAAATATGCCACGCTACACACACGCACATACATATTGAAATATGCCACGCTACACACACACGCACATACATATTGAAAATATGCCACACTACACACGCACATACATATTGAAATATGCCACGCTACACACACGCACATACATATTGAAATACGCCACGCTACACACACGCACATACATATTGAAATACGCCACGCTACACGCACATACATATTGAAATACGCTACACTACACACATATTCATATTGAAATACGCTACCCTACATACATACATATACATACTGAAATACACACTTTGAAAAACGCCACGCTACACACATACACGGAAACACACACGCACACACTGAAATACGCGACCTACACACACACATACTGAAACATGTCACGCTTCACATACACACTGAATGCCACGCTACACAAACACACACAGAAATATGCCACGCTGCCACAGAGATATTCACCACGATACAGATATATACATACACATCCCCCTCCACACACATACATAGAAATCGGCTACGTTCTACACACATAAACAATAATACCCTAGACAAATAAAACCTAACGAAACTCCCTAAAATCTCAGCCACTCTAAAATACAACAGAAACATATTCCGAGGAAAAAGAGCTGATAAAAGTTCTTTACCGTTTTCTCTACCGCCGTTGCACCCCCCCAGCCTCGTGACGGGCGGCGGTGGCGGCAGCAGGGTGCCGATTAGCAACCGAAGAGAAGTGGCAATAAATCTGAAGAGAAATCCTCACTATGGATTCTCTAATCTCCCCTCAGGGCAAAAGGGAGGGGAAAAAAAAAAAAAAAACGAGGAGAAATGTCTGATGTTCTCTATATAAACAAAGAGTCGGACTCCTTCGGATCGAGTGGAGTGGGGGAGTGGTGTCTGGCTTAAGAGAATTGTAGAAAAGTGACTTTTAAAATTAGATAAGCGATTGAGATAAAGAGGAAGAAGTATTAAAAAAAAAAATATAAAACTTTTCTCGACCAATTTAAGAATCCATGTCATTTTTGAACGAAAAGACCTTCCCACTACTACCATTTGTGCTTCGTCTTAAATCCAAAAGCAGTTATAAACAAAAGGAAATAATTTTTATACAATAATGCATTTAGGGAGTTTTTTTTTCTCTATGAGGAGGTGCCAAAGAGTTCTAGGGTCGACCAATTTAAATAATTTTTATTTTTAATAATTTCATCCCAAGCAAGGTAATAAAGCCACTATGACGCAAAGTGTTACTGAGTTTGAGAGAGTATGAGAAAAAGAGAGAAAGGTAAATAAGAAAGAAATAAAAGCGAATAAAAAAAACCCTGATGCTTTATCATTTGGGAAGTGGTTTGAACCAATAACTCTTCAGCACCAACTCTTGTATTTATCTCTCACAATTACCAAGGAATATTAAAAATTGTCTAGTGTTTCTACAAATCGCTCCTCTCCAAGAAATAATCACTTTCTCCATATTTCTTTTCATATTATTATAGAATAAGCACCCCAGACATCAAAAATAAAAAAAAAACTTTTCTTTATTCAATTTTTAAAATTTTAATGTTAAGTTTGCTATATAAATTCTTTGTGAATTGATGTCTTTCCTTCTAAATTTATTTTACCCATAACTAACCCAAGAAACACACAGATTGAGCATTCTAACGTGAACATGTTCATGGATAGTTCAGCTTATAAATTCGACAGGCTACGGAATTACTGATTTAACCTAATGGACATAGACATGGCAGCGCTAGAGGATATCTTACCAAACACCACAGGTTGCTACAAACTCCAAAGCACAACGTATAACAAGAAATATATTTTAGGGATTCGACTTGTATAAGTTCAAATTATTAAGGACTCATGTACATAAATAACCGCTTCAGGTCAAGACTGAGAGACATGATTCGCGCCAGACCCATTCAGAACTATCTAAAATGTCGGATCAATGATTTAAAATGGCTTCGAGCGAAGGAAACCAGTAACTCATACCTCGAAACTCGTGAACTGGCGCTACAGAATCACAAGCCAAAAACTGTAACAAATAACAGAAACCACATCACTTGGGGACTTTCAAAAGCAGCATCAACTAAAATGGCTAACATGTAACTAGAAGAAAAAATAATGACATACGCAAGAGAGGTTGACACAACTTCGAGCAAATGGTTAGGAAGGAAGACGCCGTTCTTTATGGACCGAGTTCCCATTAACTGTTGCACATGACGTCACAGTGGGCTAAGAAGAATTTCAGAATAAAGAAAGAATATCAGGAGGTGGCCAAATGGATCTTGTCTACTAAACAGACACTACATGATTCTTGAAAATGACGGGGACGCGCGAAAGTACTTGAACAAAACAATATCACAAAAAAGAAAGTTTGAACATCCACGATTTCGATCTCAATACACAATACTTTATTCGAAAATTAAAAAAAAATACAGACCATATCGGTTGTATTTAATTAAATTTGTTTGCAGATGATATATATATATATATATATATATATATATATATATATATATATATGTGTGTGTGTGTGTGTGTGTGTGTGTTCGTGTATGTATGTATGAATGTGTGTTTGCATATATGAATTTATTGTGACCAAGAAAGGGTTACTGAATGAGGAATAACCAAAACGGAGTTTGGAAATTAAATGGTAATTTTTATAACATTAACAAAATACAATACTCGCCAGCGGCGTGAAGTAGGTAAACCACTGCAGGTGGTGTATTACTTAGACAGCATATTACACCCACTTACAATAGTGTTTAACGTAGTTATGAGGATTGGGACATACCCATTAGTATTCATAGGTTATACATACATACATACATATATATATATATATATATATATATATATTTATATACACACACGAACATAAATACGTATGATTTTATTTTTAATAATTTCACCCCAGGCAAGGCAATAAGGTCACTAAGACGCAAGGCAAGGTGTTACTGCGTGTGTGAGAATATGAGAAAAAGAAAATGTATAAAAAATAAATAAAATAATAAAAACATCTGAAATAAGGAAAATCTATGAAAGTTTTTTTTTGTGTGTGATGCGTTTCATCTTTAGGACTCTATTAAACTGACGTTGAGAGGGGACGATGTAAACTAAAGTTTTAATTTTTTTAAAAATCTGACTAAATAGTCAAGTCGATTTAATTTTATACACACACATTATATATAGAGATAGATAGATAGATAGATAGATAGATAGATAGATAGATAATGAACAGGCTGATAGATAGATAGATAGATAGATAGATAATGAACAGGCTGATAGATAGATAGATAGATAATGAACAAACTGATAGATAGATAGATAGATAGATAATGAACAAACTAATAGATAGATAGATAGATAGATAATGAACAAACTAATAGATAGATAGATAGATAGATAGATAGATAGATAGAGATATAACTATGGCTACAAAATATTATTTCGCTTTCGTTGCTTGCCTTGATGAAGTCCGAAGACGAAACGCGTCGGCAAGAAGTAAGAATTTTTCGAATTGTCATTTTTAAACCAATTTGTCTTATCTTCAGAATTATTCTGGGAAATTGAACCATATATATATATATATATATATATATATGTGGGGGGGGTGAGAGAGAGAAAAATTCATGAATTTTTAATCCGACATTACTTCCAATATTATTTTCAGAGGATACTTGTGCTTAAAAATAGACGCGTCGTTTTTTTTTATTTCAAACTGCCTGTATTACGTATATCCGCCTGCGCAGTATAACATCTGAAGCTATATATATATATATATATATATATATATATATATATATATATATATATATCTCTTCTACTATCCAGTCTTATCAGAATGTGAACAACAAAAACCGTAGAAAAAACGTGTTTAATCAAATCCCGGGCGACGTGTGGAATTTTGCCTCTCTTCTTGATGCGAAACTAATACACGAGTGATAGTTCAGAACATTTCTATAAACACGTTTTCCATCGTGAAATAGCGAATGGAATTAAAGATTCTCAAAATATCACCAGGGTCACTGGTAAGCAAATAACGGCGCCGCGTGCGCGCGTACCTGCTTTGGGAAGATATAATTAGAAAAAAAAAAATAAGAAGAAAAAGAAACTGACACAAAGCTGTTAGCCGGAGGGTCAGCTTTTCACTCCTGATTTCCCACAATCATGTCAAGCCCCACCTTCAACCTGTCTTGTCCCATTAAAAGATCACTATACGCAAATGCTATAGCACTGTTCATCTAAGTAAGCCAGAGAGTGACCGCACAGCAAGAACACAGAAGAAAGTCTCCACCAAAGAGAAAGAAACTAACTGTAAAAAATATCAGTGCATCCCTTGCAACACGATAAAAAAAAATTCAGGAAGAAATATTAAAGAAAATAAACAATAAAGAAACGTGCTGGGTTAAAATTTTTTAAATAAATTATCTAAGGAATGAAACTGACATGATTTTAGTCGGTTTTTGAACGGGTTATATATATATATATATATATATATATATATATATTCAACAATAAAGAATATTAAAAAATTAAAATCTTCAGGTTGTAGATTAATATTCTTTCGTTTTTTTTATTATTATTTCATTTAGATTCCTCAGTCCAACAATTATTTTAATATTTTCTGTTTATACGTTATTTTTATTGATACAAATATTTAAGTTTTTTTATGAAGAGAGCATATAATTATTGAAATATCAATCCGTTGACTGGTTTGAAAAATCCTTGTAAATTTTATTTCAATGTCATCTTAATTCCTCTTGTATAAAAAATATGTTGCTCTCTTTAATTTAAACATTGAGCTCTATGTATGAATCAGTTTTAATATTTAATATTTTATATTGAATTAATAGGATTCACTTGGATTATTGCCTATGATGTTGACTATAATTGTATGATGTTGAAAGACCCGAAACCCCTAATGAACCTTGGCTAGAAACATCACTGATGATGTGTACTAAAGCATCCAATTTATTTTACGAAATGGAACATATATATATATATATATATATATATATGTGAGCAAATATAGAAAAATAGGAAAGAACCATTAGGTTAATAATTCAAAGTTCTTTAGTAATTTTGTTTTTATCTAAAAAAAGAAAAAAAAACGGTGCCCAATACATAAGTAGAGCCGAAATTATAATTATTTTTTAAAAATGGGATTCCATCGCTACATAAAAGTTCTCATGTTTCAAAAACAGAAGCTAAAAGAACAGCTCTGTTTCATCCTCAAGCAAATTTGGGAATAACTAATCTTGAAATTTACCGAGCTATATATATATATATATATATATATATATATATATATATATATATATATATATATATGTGTGTGTGTGTGTGTGTGTGTGTGTGTGTGTGTGTACAATGAAATGGACTAAGTCCAACAATTATTTTAATATTTTCTGTTTATACGTTATTTTTATAGATACAAATATTTAAGTTTATTATGAAAAGAGCATTTACTTAAATATTTGTATCTATAAAAATAATGCATAAACAGAATATATATATATATATATTATATATCTTATATAATATATATATTATATTATATATCTTATATAATATATATATTTATATATATTATATAATATATATATTATATATATATTATATAATATATATATATATATATATATATATATATATATATATATATAACACGGAGTCAAAAGGACGGTTTTTCTCTTGACACCGCTATTATTTTAACTACCTTCACTCCTCTTCAATGTTTGTTATTTTAAAAAGCGATGAATGATTTGTAATAAAACCTAAACATATGAAAGTTAATTTATACATTTTCTTTATTCTTGAGATTTGACAACAAAAATAATAAACACTATTTATTGTTTATCTACAAGAATAATTTTTATATTTACAACATTCTAAATCTTAATACAAGCTGACTGCACCAGGAGCAACGCGTTTAAATCAACTGCCATTGGAATGCTGGATGGCAGTCAGTCAAAGGTGGGATTACATGATAAACTATGCATTTGGCTTTTATACCACCTTTGCGAAGTCATGTCGGCGAATATGGTCCAGAAAAGCTATCAATAAATCTGAAACTGCTACTCTCTATAGAAGTGTTTCCCAACATTTTTTTCTCCTAACAAAAATTTGCTTGCGCCTCACCAAATGTTATGTGATGAATACTAATTTTAAACATAAAATACAGAGAGAGATAAAGAGACGGAGAGTGAGAGAGAGAGAGACAGAGAGAGGATTAAAGGGAGATAACCGCGAATTCGAAGTCCGAATATTATCATTGATAACTCTCTCCTCCAATTTGCAAAACCTAGTTACTATATTCTTAATACTTGATATAATGCAAAAATATCACAATGATAAAATCGGTCAATAATTATTTATAACTATTTATACTGGGACTCATGCATGCAATTACAAGTCTTCTATAATAATATTTTAAATTTTGAAATCATATTTTGGTATATGAATTTTTTTGAAACTGTCTATACAGCCTACTGGAGTTAATCCTTTACTAAATTTCATATATAATGGAAATACTTTGAAGTAAGGCAATGGTTTTCAAATTTTTTTCTCTTCCCTGCATTTTCGGAATGAAAATTTGTTCGCGCCTCACCAAAATCTATGCGATAAAAAAGTACCCTTAAAAAATAATCAGAGCGATGGTTAAAGAGAGGTAACTGCGGATTCTAAGTCAACATTATCATTGATAACTCTCTCCTACAATTTGCGGACCCGAGTTACTATATACTTAATATAACTTGATATAAAGCAAAAAAAATGATAAAATCGTCCAATAATTATTTATAACTGTTTATACTGGGGCTTATGCATGCAATTACAAGTAATCTATAAAAATATTTTAAGTTTTGAAATCATATGAATTTTTTGAAACTGTTTCTAAATCTTTGATTATCTTTCAATCATTCCGCCTCACCGGCTATCCTCTTCCGCTGGACCTATGTGGCGCACTGTACCGTTTGAGAACGTCTGCTCTAGAGGGAGGTCCGAAAGTATTGCCAACCCTATATAATATAATTTTATTTTCTATTTCAGATGTCTGACAGGAGCTCTTACAGTTTGGAAGAGAGGCTACTTGCAAGTGTATGGACATATAATCGCGTGCATTCTGGAAAGAGCATGGAGGATGTGTGGCATAACGTCACTACAAGATTCGGCAAAGCAACTCCTCCAAAGAGGACGATACTGCGATGGGAACATAAACTGTTTCTCACAGGATCAGTTAAGGAGAAAACGAGGACAGGATGGCTCTCAACGCGAAGGGACTCCTATGCAGAGGTGGAGGCATCTCTGCTACAATCACCGAAGACGTCACGACGAAAACGGTCTTCTGTTGTTCTCATTACTTTTTTCGTAGGTGGTGACAAGACTTTCGGATCACCCTGTATATGAACGGCGAACCGTAGATGAGTACTAAGCCAGTGAAAGATAATCATGAGCATCGCGGATACCATTCTCACCACAGGCCCAAATTTCCCGATGCATAAGATTTTTCCTCAGTAATAAGAAAGTTTACTCCAAAATTAACAATGACCATTCACTCTATAGTCTACAGGTGTACGGCGAGTGTTCTAGAACATTCCAAGTGGAATTCGAGGCCCTACAGCACAACATTCTGTCAAGTATTTTTTGCTATCTTTTGCCTCCCTACACGCAAGCCACCAATTTGCCACTGGGTGGCATGGCAATAGCGTTTATCACCGGTGGCCCGCTGTCGTACCGCCGGCGTTTTCCACTCGGCAATGTAACGACTGGCGGAGCGTTAGAGGCCCACCGGTGGCTGCCACCAGAGGACTGCTGGCGTTGCCAACGGTGGCCCGCCAACGGTATTTTTTTTGTCTTTGATCGCATAACTTATAATAAAGCTAACAAAATACGCTGGTGAAGTTGTTCTTTTCTTGAGTTCCCAAATATTAAAACAATTTAAATCCGCAAAATGTCAGAAAAAGTGTTCTAGGGAAGATACCGTATGTACTCGTGTACAAGCCGACTTCATGTATAGTGCGACCCCTCAATTTGTTTTGTATGTATTTTTATTCCCCACCCCAAGAAAAGAATTACTTGTGTGTAATGCAAACAGTCACTGAAAATACATGTTTTTTAAACTATTGGAAAAATTATCTGTGTATACCGCCTATTTTTTGTGTAAAAAAAAAAAACTGATCACAAAACTCGTACTATACTCGAGTATATACGGTGTTTAAAACGTACTCAATTCCTTTCATATATTAAATTGATCAATCCGCACTTTTGGTACCATATGCCAGGTACCAAATATTAGTTATCGACATAACTTTCGTTTTGTTTATCAGAAAATCAGGATCTAGACATCTATCCCAATGTTTTTCTTTTGTACCGAAAATTCCCCCCCCGAAGAAACGTAAATGGAGTAATTGCAAAATTTAAACACTTTTCCCAAATCTTTAAAAATTTTAAAAAATTATAATTTTTTGTTTTAATCATCCCTTGAAACTGTACAAATTACACTAATACAGTTCCATAATTGAGCTGAAAAACATTCAGGTGGTTAAAAAGAAATTACAAATCTCTACTTAGCTCTATGATGTTCGACCGCTGTGCCATTAAGGTCGTACAGTCACAACATATTCTGTAGCTGCTGCAGCAGAGTATGCGTCTAAGGGTAACATAGCCAGAATAGACCCATCTTTCTTCTCACAGACTGGTTGCCGCACAAGACAAGAGAGCCAAATCTGCCCTATGGCCGGAGGAAAATGGCTTCATGTCTTTTGCATGGGCACTAGCGCGAAGTCAACGAAACAGACGACGTCCGAATTTGAACTCGGCATGCCGATTTCACTTTCGTTATGTTATGCACACATCTGGGTAGTCTTGTTTAAGTTAATTCTACACAAAGCAAAGAAAGCGTACGTCTTACAGAATGTGATGGTTAACAAGCTAGTCTCACAGATCATTCAGTTTAGCGAGGTTGATTCTGGTTTTTTAACTCGTCATAATAGCCTTTGAATTTTTTATTATATCCATGGCAAATCTTATTAAAGATTTGAGCTCGGCAAACAAATAGGCGGATGCAAGCATTAAAGATTAACGATGCTTATATTGTAGATAGAATTGTTTGCAGGTCTAAAGGAAGCGAAATGATAAGTTCGATGAGAAATCGACCAGAATGAAAAGTGTATTTCTTGAACGCTTCTTTGATGTAATAAACAGATTTGAAATCGAAGAAAGAACGAATATGGCGAACATGCGGGTAGATAATTGACATGTATGTTTTGAAATCGAAGAAAGAACGATTAATATGGCAATTAAAACATGAAGCGGGTAGAAGAAACATAATAATCAACATTGATGTGAATGAAGAAGACGCAGAAGAAGATGCGCAGATGTTGCATATATAACAGATGTTGTAACGACGAAGTGAGACACAAGAAGACGAAGAAGAAATGTATATAATAACAACTCATGAAAGAAGATGATGAAGCAGCAACGGAAGAAGAAGAAGAACAAGAAGAAAAAGAAGCCGATGAAGAAAAGCAGAAACAGATGAGGAAGAAGAAGCAACTTATGAAGAAGCAGATGAGGAAGAAAAGAAGAAAACAGAAGAAACATGAAGAAGCAGAAGAAGATGAAGACAGATGAGGAAGAAGAAGCAACTCATGAAGAAACAGATGAGGAAGAAGAAGCAACTTATGAAGAAGCAGATGAGGAAGAAGAAGCAACATGAAGAAGCAGATGAGGAAGAAGAAGCAACTCATGAAGAAACAGATGAAGCAACAACATGAAGTAGCAGATGTTGAAGAAGACGAAGAAGAAGATGAAGGAGTTGAAGAAGACGCAGAGGATGATGAAGGAGATGAAGATGAAGGAGATGAAGAAGAAGCAACTCATGAAGAAGCAGATGAGGAAGAAGAAGCAGCAGCAGCAGATGATGAAGATCAAGAAAAAGAAGCAGAATAAAGATAGTATTTAAAAAATGAAGAAAAGTGAGGAAGAAGAAAAAAAGAAAAATGATTGAAGAGAACAGATTTTATATTTCTGAAGAACGGTTATAAGGCAAACAGAAGAACAGATCATTCTATGAAGAAGCAGATGGTCAACTATAAAGATAATATTTTGAAAAGTAAAAAAAGAAAATATTTAATTTCTGAAGAACGGTTATGGTAGCATTTCACAAATATTTAAGGGTCCCAGGTCTGGGCAAATAGTAAACGCCTAATCAAAAATCAACAGTACATTTTTATAGTAAAATAACCAACAATACATTTTTATAACAAAATGCCAATCAATACAACAATAAATAATTATTAAAATACATCTTTATAGTAAAATTCCCAACAATACATTTTATGATCTTCAAACAATATATCTAAAAAAAAAACATACCTTTACTCTGAGAGTATAAAATTACGTATAAGCTATCGTTAGATGAAGACATAAAATTTCGTGCGGGATATTTAGATTTCGGCATTAAATAACGTTGATATGCTGCTAATCAAAATCAACCCATCAACAATACCTATTTGTAGTAATTTAACCAGAAATACATTTAAAAGCAAAACGACCAGCAATACATTTATAGTAGATATGCCAACAATACATTTTATAGCAAAATGACAAACAATATATTTTATCTATAGTTGAAGGCATACAATTGCGCTCAAAATATACTTAGTTGAAGCCATAAAATTGCATTCAAAATATTTAGATTTCGGCATTAAATAACACACAGTGCTAAACAAAATCAATCAACTAACAAATATTTAAATATTTTAAATTGAGTTGCGTAAAAATGCTTCTCAAAGTTTATATAGCATCTTAAAAGATATGATAGCTGGAAATAAATTCAAATTATATTCTAACGATAGCATACAAGTTCTGCAACCCTCGGAGTATGGAACATAAGTTTGAACATTCTAACGTTATGCAATTTAAATATAGTATATTTAGACAGGGACCATATAAACACATTCTTTTAAGTAGAACATAAAAGTATAACAAGTGAGCATCTTGTGTTTAGTTTAATTTGGTTGGTTTATTTTGTTTTACGGTATATCAACCTCAATGGGTTATTTAATACCGACAAGATCTTTATTGCTGGAAATATTTTTTTCCAAAAATATAGTGATGGTAATTTCTTTTTTTTTAATGTATAGGTGGTAATATTTTCTTCAAAAATGTATTGCTGGTAATAATTTTTCTTCAAAAATTTATTGCTGGTAATAATTTCTCTTCAAAAATTTATTGCTGGTAATAATTTTTTACAAAGTGTTTCTGCTATTAAAACCTATTTTTGCACTTTCATAATATTTTGACTCCAGTTTGGGGGTTAAGTATTCACTCATAGATGGGACCCTAACAGGTGCTACCACCTCGGGTCAGGAGGGGACCTGGGAGCACCAGCAATTAAGAGGTGGTTCCACGTTCCTCAAAACCTCCTGATCGGAGGCCTTACTGTTGGACGTAGTTTATCGTTTTACCCAGGACGCGGATATAGTTTATCGTCATACCCAGGACGGAGTTTAATATGTAACGGGTATAAATGTAGGTAGAAAAAAGCAAATACTGAAAAGATAGCGAGGGTCACAAAGCACTGCTCGAGGCTTCCAATCAGGCTTTCTACACACCCCATGGCTGACGAAATCGGGGTTAGTATGCACCGGTGCTGTCTCTATATATCGCATCTTATAACTTATGAGTGAATTGATGTTTGTTTTGATTTACTATGATTAAACGTCGGATACACCCGAACAGTATAATAAAACACACTTTTAGTAGTAAACAAGTTTTTTAGTTCGTTTCATTTCCTTGTTATGTCAAATCGTTTCTCTATCTTTTTTATTCTTTTTTTTTTAAATGAGTTTCAGATTAGCACACATATCTTAAAACCTGCTAAGATTTTTCATTCAATATAAAACATTAGCAAAAAGACATTTGCTGTATTTCCAAGCCAGGTGTTGAAGAGAATGAAAAGATTTCTTCAGTTCAATTCCACCGATAACAACCCAATCCAATTAAAGTTATGTTGATAAATAGGAATACATTTTGAAACATTAAACTCGTGTTGTTATCTTTATAAATAAGCATGAGAGAGAGAGAGAGAGAGAGAGAGAGAAAGAGAGAGAGAGAGAGAGAACGACATATTAAAAGCTGAGTGCCAGCGGCAAATAATGTAATTAGAATCTAACAGGTGTTTCAGCTCACGAGTCTTCTTCAGAGTGGGTGGGGACGACATTTGTTGAGATGGCAAAATTATATTTAGGGAGAAAATTTTGCTGAACCAAGCCTACAAGAAAATCAAAGAAATCAGTTACTGAGGAAAATGACGACCATAGTAGGGGTTGTTTGAAATATGTGGATATACAGATGCCCAGAGGAAAACAGTTACGGGGGGGGATAGCTCAATATGTGTTGGTAGGGACGGATAAAAGCTAAGAATGTAAAAAATAATAATAGCAACATTTTATTATGAAGGTTCTCCATTTTAGGACCTCCAAAAATCTACAGTATTGTACCTTTCTCATCCCCCCCTATTTTATAATGGATTAGTCAATTTTTATATATATGAGATAACGAGGTCACCTCAGCATGGTGTAATTGTTAGCAAGTTTGTCTTGCTAGAACAATTACGACTGAGTAGTTACTTCGATCCTCATTGGGTGGCCCATATTTTGGTCTTGTGCCAAATCTAAACTACGGTTAGAAAATCAATATGAGACAATATATATATATATATATATATAAATCAGTTACCATCGTTCTTGTAGCCGTTTGAACCAAGCACTTTATTTTATCCACTGAATAGATCATTCTAATTACTTTTCTATGCTTAAGAGATTATCTCTTATCAATTAACACGAGCCAGTTTTAAATCCCTTTGTGTCATTTGTTCGTCTCTTCCACTGAGCCAGGATTATGTGACTACCAAAGCCAAGGATTGAAATTTCAACTACCAGACAACCAGCACTTTCATCCACTAAATTACGTGTATTCCGACATAAATTAGAATCATGTCTTTCGTATACACGCCACTCGCTACTTTCCTTTGTCTGCACCGTTTGATAATTCACTATTTTCAAGAATTAAGAAGACTCCTGAACGCTGTTTATATTATCTTCTTACTCTGTCATTAGATAAAGATCTTTCTTCTTTTCCTTTCTCTACTCTTTCCATCTGATTATTTTCTACGCTTTCTGCTGACTCTGTTCGGTTTAAATTATTCCTGGCTGACTAGCATCGCAAGAACAACCAAATACAAGTAATTATGTTTAGCATCAAGGCTTTTGAACCTTTTTTTTTTCTTGTCTGTTGTTGTTATACTCCTCAGAAACCATCGAAAGATTACAAAACAAAGGGTCACCGACTGACTGAAGAATCAGATACGGGCAAAAGAGAAAACAATGTCACATTCTTTTCATTTAGTAACATAGAAAACCGTGCTAAGTGAAGTAAACACATTGATATGGTTTGAGATTTAATATAAGTAATGGTTTGTTTGCTGAAAGTACGTTCTTTTTGCTAAATTTTAAAATAAAATGATTGTACGAAAAAAAAATCGTTTTTCTTTTTTAATCAGGAGCAAGTTGTACAGACAGTAAAATAAACTGATATCTTTTCCTCTTTTTCTACCAAAAAAACGTCAAAGAAAAGAAACATTTTGAAAACAATGTCATACTCCAGTTAATGACAAAAGATGTCTTGCTAAGTGAAATGTACATACTGACATGGTTCGAAACTTAAATAATGGATTATCTATTTCTTTATCTCTTGTTTCTATTTTTTCTACTAAATTAAAAAAAAACAAAAACAAAACAAACTTAGTCGCAAGAAAAATGTCTATTTAATTAAAGGCAAGTTATACACGCAGCAAGTGAAATAAGCATTCTTAGTTTTGTCTACAAAAACGCAAATGATGAGAACTTTTCCAAAACAATGTCACACTCTTTTTAGATAACGACAAAAGATATCTTGCTAAGTGAAATGTACAAATTAAAGTTAAGTTTACAAATTGACACGGTTTAAGACTTAATGGTTAAGGCGTTTTCATTATTATTTACTAGTTGTCTTTGTCAGACATTTCAATTTTATATCTATGATCAGTGGGTGTTTTACCACGGACATTTTTTAAAGCATTTCACTCCAAGCAAAGCGGGAGGACCACTAGCACATAAGGGGTTACAGAGAGTGAGAGCAAGACTAAAGAGGGGTGTTTGAGGAAAGGATATAGAGAAGGATGGGGGATCAGGATCAAGGCATCAGAAGATGTGGATTGACATTACATTTGAATATTTGAAGATTATAGCTATCAGAGAAGCGAGTAAGAGGAAGGGAGTTCCACTGGGAGGAAGTGATAAAAATAAAATAAAATAAAATCAAGACAGACGGATTCTCTCGACAATTGGCGCCAAGCCATCTTTCTACCTTCACTAATTGTGAAGAGCCATGATCGCCAATAGACACAGTACATAGACGAAGAATAATAAAATAAAACATTTATCGTTGGAAAATATATTCGATATTATACTAAAAAGAATTATACGTTTTGGATGAAGGGCTGTCGCTAGCTGTTGTGTGTTGTTCAACTTAATTGCTTTCTGTTTGTTCCCGTTGGCTAACATCTGTATATTAGCGCACTTATATCATTTTGCGTTCTTTTAAAAATAAAATTACATAAATGCTTGCTGCTATAGACATTAATAAAGTCTATTTGTCTTTTTTTTTTTCCTTTTTGTTCTCAAAAAATATCGAAATAATAATATAAATGCTTTCATGGTAATTGTTTGTATAAGCTCTTCGCTATGGCACGTAGACTTTTTTTAAATTTAAGCGCAGCACTGAACTGGCGTCGAGATCTCATCAATTTATAGTTGAGCTGGCTCGATGTAGCCGTAAATTCTCTGCTAACAGTTTCTTCTCTCGCACTTCTCGCTTGTGGAACTCCCTCCCGGCTCCATGCGTTCCAACTAACTTTAGTCTCCCAAAATTTAAATGCAATGTCAATAGCTATCTACAGTCCTCCTGATTACTCTTTTATCTTCCCACTCATTAGTAATGTTTCTGTTCGTAATTCTTCGACGCCTAGTAATCCCTTGTTTCTTAATTGTTTTGCTGCCTTTCTTGGGATGAAATCGAATTGCATTACCCACAAAAAAAAGTCACTGGCTGAGTGTAGAATGAAATGTGTCTTCCTTTATCCCTTCAGAACATGAAGTGATCATGGCTTTCCAAAATTTCTTAACCCTTAGTCATGTTTGTCATTTTATTATATCTCCAACTTTCTGTTCTAACACACATTTATACAAGCTTATAAGGTAGGCTACTTGCCGTTTCTCTCTGTCCCTCTTGCCTTCGCGGTATTAACGACTTCGTTTTATAGAGAGAAAAAAATGATTACTTATTGGAATTTAAAGTTTTATTTGGCGAGTGGCAGCAACGTATATCTGCGCAGTTACGTGAAAAACGGTCCGTTCTGCGCAGTATATAACTAAAAGGCAGCCATTTGTAGGAAACGTTCTGAATTTCGATATCTCAAATTAATAGCCTCGTTGAGAATGTGAGGCTTGGAAATTGGACATAAGCCTGTAAAGAGAAATATTTAATATTTTCAGAGCTTTCAAAATGACAATTCTGAGCACAGATTCGGAATCAACATATTCGATTTGGTCTAGTACAGTAAAAGTTTTCTGGGTAACAGACGAAAAAAATCTTTTTTTCTCAGTGTAATTAATAGAGGGTGCGCATAAGCCCTCCAGAAATACTTCCTACATAACGGTATGAATTTAGATGAAGACGCCATCGCTACTAATGTCTTACTGTTATGTAGGAGGTGTTTTATTTAAACAATTATGTTCACCCTGTACAAAGCCCAAGGGCCACTCGAGGGAGATAGTTAAAAAAAGAGGCATAGCTTATGCGGATATATGTGGAAGGCAACGGTTAACCCTAGACTTAAAGAAGCTAGGAGTGCACTGATCGGGGAATCGTCCTTTTGGGAGATGGTTCCATGCGGCAGCGATTCGTGGGGAAAAAGCTGTTCGTGTGGAATTTATATTTCACCTAAGAAATGGACGGTTTGCATGGCGGGTTTTAACCGCGAAGGTCAGGGGGTTGTGTAACCAAGGATTGTAATTCATCTGAATATTCTCCATGTGAATAGAGATCGAGCAGCGAGAGGCTTTCGACGTCCAATCTTTAAGAAAAGGGCTGTAAGGCGGAAAATAATTAGTCCTACACAAGGACGCGGAGGCGCTTTTATACTCTATCGAGAGTGGAAAATGAAGACTGTGCAGCTCCTGTTCATATATGTACTCCATTTTGTGGGAGTTATTCTCCGCACAACGTGCTCTTGTTGCATTGCAAATACGTTGCCTTCTGTTGAAACTTGGATAAGCATGGAATAATAATAATACAACACAAAATGTACGTTAACAAAATGTATTGAAACAAGGAAAAGGTACACAATATTTACAGTTAGTTTGGTATATTCTTGGGAAGACTGTTCCTGCATAATGGGTTGACTAAATCGCAGTCGGGCAGAGTCTCTGGATTCGATCTCTTCTTACAATCTCTTTTTTCTCTTCCGGTACCAACCCATATTTATATGGTTGGTACTCCACTTATGTAAATTAGGTGTATCGTACACAACACCTTCTAATGTTACATTAACAGAAAATGCATATTAAATTCCAGACTTACAGCCACACCTCGTTGAAACACCGGTCCCCGTACGATCGTCTAAGTTAAGCAACATCGAACCTGGTCAGTACTTAAATAATGGGGAATGGCAGATGGTGTAAGCTTGGATGAACGGGTGGCGTAATGGATAATGGCTCGAAATTTTTAATCGGAGAGCGGAGTTCCAATTCCAGTCGGGTTCGTTACATTCACTTACGCAAAAATACCGTTGGGAAAGGCATGAATTCGCATCTTCCCTGTCTCCAGCTATAGGTTAATTAGTCAAACTTGTATCACTAAATCATTATTATCTCCCGCAAAAATATTTCTTACAATCTACGAAAGTATAAACCCGCCTCTTCCCCCTCCGGTTATAAGTTAATTAGTAAGACTTGTATTGCTAAATCATTATTATCTAAAAAAAAAAAAAAAAAAAAAAAAATGCTTAAAACCTAAAAAAAAAAAAAATCTAGCTTTAAATAACCTGCAATGGGTTGATAAGGCGTAAAAAACGGATCAAGAGGCAATAAATTCCGGGATGATATTAGTAAGTGCACTCACCATGTAAATTAGTGATACTTAATTAAAAAAATGCGAAAAAATAAAATTCTCTCTCTCTCACTATATATATATTTGAATTTGTAGGTCTGATGAATTGGATCGTATTTACGATTCCAATGGTATAAATTATGAGCATGGAATATTAGTGTTTAAGCCTTTTTATTATATCCTTACGCCGTCCTGGACATTGAGTTCTACCTGGATTCTATCCTCTTGGAATTATTCTATATATATATATATATATATATATATATATGTGTGTGTGTGTGTATGCATGTATGTATGTATATATATTTATATATTTTAGATATATGATTGCATATGTATGTGTATATTTACCACTAATGTTATCAAATTATATATTATTATTATTATTATTGGAAGAGAAAGTACACTGATGTTATAATTGACCAGGGAGGAAATTTTCATCTAAATTTTTATCATAATGTGACATTTTTTTTTTGGGGGGGGGGTATGAGTGGTCAGTTTTGGGTCAGGAAACTAGTTTATTGCAACGTTACAGTAACGTCGCCACAACGTTACATATTTCCAAACCAAAATACAATCTGTCTGCAATGTTGCAAGAACCCTGCAAGGACGCTGGGTCAATTGTTTGGGTAATCAGACATGTTTTATCTCACGTTTCAGTTCAGAAAATGGATAGTAAATATAATTAGTACATGTGCCACTAAGACTCTAATGGATTACGGGGCTCGTGATCATGGAGAGGAGATATGATTTCTGTTAAATAATGTTCTGCATCAAGGGAATGAATAAATAAAACAATTACCAGGTGAATGTAAGCTAACGTACAGAGGACTATAATTAACTTTTGGGTGCAAAATGCAGCACATAATTTAACGTCCGTAAAATTCATTTAGGCAGAGAGGCTAAAAGCTTCTGTACATCCATGTACAATTTTATTAATTAAAGATTCTCCTAAAAATATTTTTTTCATCGCCAGTTATTATATGATCGCAAGACATATGACCTGACGAGCTAGATAGCTCTCCGTGTCAGAGGAGTATGTAGACTAAGGTACCCCGTCAAGGTACTTAAATGGCAAAATTTGGAAATTCCAGAACGATGCAACTTCAAATGTATAGATAAAAAAATATGACGATATTGGTCCATATAATTAATGCGATAATAGAGTTTCATTTTAAATTTTCAGCCAACATAAGGCAAAAAAAAAGAAAAAAAATGGCTAAGAAGTAGAGATC